TATATATATATATATATATATATATATAGATATATAGATATATAGATATATAGATATATAGATATATAGATATATAGATATATATAGATATATATAGATATATATATATAGATATAGATATATATATATAGATATAGATATATATATAGATATATATAGATATATATAGATATATATAGATATAGATATAGATATAGATATAGATATATATGTAGATATATATATATATAGATATATATATATATAGATATATATATATATATAGATATATACTCTGCCTGAAGATCGTGTTTGTGTGTAGCAGATTTTACTAGTTTATTATCTATTTTATTTTACTTGGCTCAATGCTCGTTTTGTGCGTTTTGATCCTTGAGGGAATACCACGCTTCTAAGTACAAACATTCACGATAGCCAAGTTTTGTCTTATTGACAATGGTAGCATTGTTGAAGTCAATTTGGTGGTCGCATTATTCTGCATGCTTAGCAACTTTAGAATATTGGTCGAAATGAGAAACACATAGGTATACGAGGCGTGGGGGCTGGGGGGGGGGGTGCAGCCCCATCCCCAGAATTTTTGAATCGTCATAAAATCCAAATTAAAAAATCTTTATTTCGGGCCTTTGCCCGATAAAATCCAAATTAAAAAATCTTTATTTCGGGCAAAGTACTCTTTATTTCGGGCAAAGTATTCTAAAATATATCAACGTCAACGTACCATCATCATCTCAGAGTAAAGACGTGCATATTTGAGCTCCGACAAAAATGGCTAGCTTATGTATAGAAACCATAAACAAATTACGTGTAGTTGATCTACGTACAGAGCTTGAGAAAAGAGGCCTATCTAGATCAGGACGAAAGGATATATTGATTGATCGTTTAAAAATGTCGCTTCTCGAAGACGAAAATAAAAACAAATCGAGCGAGTTAGCCGATCATGGAGAAGCTACCGAGTTAGACAAAACAACGAAAGCTTCGGAGCAACCGAGTGAGTCTGCCTGTCGGAAAGAATTACTTGTTGAAGATACGTATGAATCCAACAAGCCTGCCGACCATGGGAAAGCCGATGAGTTGAGCAATACATGGAAAGCTCCAGTCATGCATAATACAGAAGCCGACGGGTCAAGGTTGGAGGGCTTAATTAAAGACCTAATGCGGCTAATTGATGATAAACTTCCCCAACAAGTCGTAGCAAATGTTACAGCTGATCAACCTGCTGCTCTAGACCATAATTTATCGATAGAAATGGCTGAGGTAAAACTCGAGCTGGCTATGTTATGGGCAACGGTCAACTCAAATCAGGACAAATGTATTCAAAGTAAAGACAAAGCTCCCTCCACCCAATCCCAAAGTCCATCCTATAAGAATGCGGGCACTCAGACTGTAGAAAGAGAATTTTCAGTTAAACCATCTTGCCATAGGACAACAAAATCATCCATCGACTTTAAAAATCAGCTTGATAGCTACAGGGCGACACATAAAGCAAATTTTGAAAGCCAAAATACCCAGCGAGATCAAGGCAAAACTTCGAAGTCGAAGAATTCTAAACAACCAAATGAAAATAATAAAGTCAGTGAACTGAGACAAAAGATTAAGAAAGTCGAGCAGGAAAGAGAGTCCCTAAAGACAATTATTCAAATTCAGAAAGAAGAATTTAGACAAGCACTAAATTCAAAAGACGACAACAAAACTCAACGCCCATGGCATGTTATTAAACCTAAACCAATTATCAACCCTAAAAATAAACAGATTGAAAGAGAAGATGGAAAGCAATCTCGAAAACCAGGTCCTGTATCAACTTCAAATAAATACGAAAGCCTAGAAGATGAAATAATTGACGTGGACGAGGTTGCTAACGAAATCGGTGAAGCGACAAACGACATTATATCTGAACACAATAAGGAAACAGAAAGCTTGAATAAATCAAACATAAAACGACACAACCCTGTGAAAAGTTCTACTGTTGTAATTGGCGATTCTTTACTAAAAGGTCTTCGACAACACTCGATTACGAAAGCTACTAACACCAAAGTGCAAGTCAAATGCTTTCCAGGGGCCAAACTCAGCGACATGAAGCACTATAGCATCCCATCCCTGGCCATTGATCCTAAACACGTAATTCTACACTGCGGCACGAATGACTTACAAAAGAAGAATCCACAAGAAATAACTAAAGAAACAGGAGAACTATGTGATCTTATTCTGGCAAATTGTCCTAATACTGATATCACTGTGTCGTCGATACTCACGAGAAAAGATAATCAAGGTAACAAAATCGCTGAGGTAAATGATCAACTTCGATTGTTATGCTTAGAGAAGAATTTGAAATTTTTATTACACGCAAACATAGATAATAAATGTTTAAATCGTTCAGGGCTTCACTTAAACAAACTTGGTGACTCTATACTTGCCAAGAATATTATTGGAGCAATAAAGTGCTTTTAGCCTTAAGTCTGACTGTCTTCCAAACTGCAGCACACCGGAAAGTGATTCGAGTGCCCTCTAGTTGGGAAAGTGTTCTAGCAAGCCCTGAGCAAACATAGATGTCAGGCTACTCTTGGTCTTTGACGAAGACAAAATCTCCTTGAGAGACATAATGAGCTTCATTACGCTGAGAAGAACTGGATTCTTTAGGAAAACTGTTGAGGTACTGCTTAACGATTCGAGCGAGATGAGGTGTGGTGGTAACTAGTCGGTCCAAACCAGTTTCATCTTGACTTAATCCAACCATTCCGCCGTGACGCTTCAATCCTTTGATCTTTTGTTCAAGGGTCTGGTCGGTGAAAAGGTAGGTGAAGGGGACCTCTGATTTTGCAACAACAAACTCTCCTACCTTTAACGCTTCCCATGTCACTGGGTCGTCCTGCTCCAGAGCGTTCATCTGTGCAAGATGGACAGGCATAAGGCGAGCATAGAGGTCGTGGGCGAAGAAATACTTGATGATGTTTTCTAACGCAGCCAAGTAACCTTCCCAATCACCTGAGCGGCAAGCATTGATTATGTGTAAGAGGCTGTCCACCTGCTCAAGGTACTGCATGAGAGGTAGATGTGCCGAACAAATTGTGTCAAATCTCATCATCATTATCGCCAAGCTGGTTGTAATGTGGGACTCAACACCTCGTTTGTATGCCTTGCCACTGTATATCCCGCGAAGAGCTGCAGATGTGTATATGCCACATTCAATAGCACAGGTGTCGATGTGGCGGTGTGTGATAGCAGCAGAGATTTAGTAGCAGCCCAAGTTGGTATAACTTCTTCCTTTGCTAACTTCTTTCTCTTATGGATTGGCTCATTCACAGAGAGAATAGAGTCACTTAAATTTCTTGCCGTTTCACTATTGACTTCACCTTCTTGATCTTCAATCTCCTGTTCCTCTTCATTCTCCGCATGTCGGCTCTCAGTGGTTTCATCGTGGTCGTCATCAGTACCAAAATAGTTAGCGAGCGCCCAAGTGTGATGGAAGTCATTAGAAGTTAAATTCTTTCGCTTACCAAACAAGCAGACCTCATATCGATGAGGCTTAGTTTTGATTATTTGCTCTTGCAGATAATTGATGTGAAATGCTGGTGCCGGTGAGAGGAGATTGTCTTGGAGAACAAGCGGTGGGTTGACAGGTTCTCCATCTTCTGCCTGCTGATTGATTACGATCACTGTGCCGTGGAACGTATTCTGGCCAGTTGGCGTGTCTTCTAAGAGATCAATGTTATCTACCGCAAACCAGATGTTAACTCCTTTCTTGACAAAATCAGGCAGACAAAATCCACCTGTCTCCTTCATCCGCTTCAGAGCGCTTTGCTCAACGCGCTTTTCGAGGTTGAGTATCTTCTTGTAGTCACTCTTAATGTACACCTCTGATAGGTTGTTGATAAGATTCTTGTCACGTACTCTAGAATGAATGACAAGAGGCAGATCAATCGAGAGGGGCGTCTGAACAGTCTGCAGAAAACCGGAGTTTTTCTTTGGCTGATATTTCACCTGGCGATCGCTTCGAGAATTCTGGATAAGAAACTGGCAAGCAACATTAACAGTTTTATCCACTTCTTCATTGCGAAGAAGCTTTGAGAACATGGCGACCAAAGAGGAGATGACTGAGAAAAAACTGATGGAGTGGAGGGTTCTGAAATTCTTGAAAACTGCAGTTGAACGACCAATTTCTGTGTTGCATAATATCTTTACGTAGAATGTCTGCTATGTTCTTCAAGCGACCAATCGTTTCACTGTTATCCAATAGCGAGGACCGAAGTTCTATACCTTTGCTAACTGCTCTTGGAAGAACGATCCTATCAGGCTCATTTTTACGCAGGGATTTAACAAACTGTACACTTGGAAGGCGTTCAGTAAGTAGCTTTTTCAGATGCTTGGGGTAGTTTGCCGTCTCAGAAATCTGTACACGATACCTATTCAAAATTGATACGTATGTACTGTTAACCTCGACCATACTTAGAATTACATCATCATCGGTCAGGGAGTTTTGAACGGATAAGAGCAATTGTTCTTCGCAAGCAGAATGTATGAGCTGGTCAGGGACGCCGGAACTGGGGGGCAGGAGGGGCAGCCGTCCCCTTGCCCTTTACCAGGAGGGGCAAGGGAGGCAAAGGTGCCCTTTCAATTTAAAGGATTGCCTTGGCGAAATAGCGAATTGTCAGAAATGTTAGTGCAATTCTTTTACGAATTTGCTTCAGAAAACGCAAGAAATGCAGGCATCGAGCTCCAAGAATAGCACAATCGCCTGGCGGAGAACCCCCTCGCACCCCTATCATCAAATAAATAGAAAACATGATTAGGCGAAGTTCAACTCCCGATATTTTGCAAACATCTCTTAGTATATATCAATACAAAAGTGCCCTTTCACGAAAATCTGCCCCCCTTGCTTTCACATCGTTCCGGCGTCCCTGGAGCTGGTTAACAGAACACATTTCTATTGGCTTGAAAGTGCGCTGAGCATTCCGTAAAATTTCCTGTGATAGTATTTTTCGAGTGCGGAGGCATCGCCGGAATCCTCTAGCTCTGACACGCAAATTCTGACTTGGTCATCCTGAGTTTTTGACTTAATCTCTAAAAAGTTTTCACCCATTCTATCTGAAGAGACGCGGTGGAGAGTTTCTAAAGTGTAATTAGGACAAAAGCTACAGGCTGAGAACAGACACACCTCTGCCTTGGGGATGGTTTTTGTTCGTTTAGGCCGAGAACAGGTAGCTGCATTGGAAGGACGCCCAGGTCCTTGAACGGAATATGATATGGAATCACCGGACCAGACTCTCTTATTTCTGAGCCTGTCTATAACATTCTTATTGACAATTGGTTTCCGACATTCACTATGGTAACATGCAGGGGCGGATCCAGCTCCTGAGCTGACTGATGCATACATAATACCTCGCATTTGTAGGGGGGTCCGGGGGTATCCTCCCCCGGGAAATTTTGAAATCTAGGACCTCGGAAATGCGATTTCCTGCGTTCTGAGCGAACTCTTTTGTTGCAATTCCTATATCAGAGTCACAAAAATTTTGCTGCATTTTTGGAAAAACACGTAAAAAACTTTTTTTGTTTAATAAATATTTAATTCAAAAAGGAAGTTTGCCCCAAGAGCTACTGGTTGCTCATCTAGGGGGCTCACTTCTCATTTACATACTTACAAATCACACACACACACAAATCAATTAGACAATAATACAATCAGTAGCTGTGTAGAAGAATAACACACAAGGAAATACTGAAAGATGAACTGCAAACACATTTAAATCTCCTGAGTATGGAAACGTTTTGTTTCTTTTATAAAATTTTGGACGTGGTAAAAGATTTGAAAATTTTCATCCTCAGAAAGTAATGAGGATCCGAACAAAAAAAGCTTTATTATTTGTGAATTGGACAGTGCAAGCCATCTATCAGCAAAAATGCGAGCAGCAGAGGTGAGCAGCTTCAATCTTTGAGCAGCAAAAATCGGACAATATAAAAAATAATGATTAATTGTTTCAATTTCAAAACCACAAGTACATTTAGGAGATAATTTACTACCAATTTTAAATAAATAATAATTTAATGCACAAGCGTCCAAACGTATTCGAGTATGAATGATAGATGAATATCTATCAAGAGAATAATTAAATAGGGTTGGACTTGGTTGAAGATTGAAAAGGTCTAACAAAACTTTTTTGAAACGAGAAATTGACGGAAGATTACGTACAGATGTATCTAGCCCATTCCACAGTTTGGTAGCAGATGGAAAGAAAGACTTTTTAAAACGCTCAGTGCGCACTGGAAACAATGTAAAATCAGATTGCGATCTCACAGAATAATGAGTTCGCTCGAGCACCTGAGAAGGTAATAATTCTTTTAAATAATTTGGAACAAGATTGTTAACGATCTTAAAATAAAAAATTGATTTATGTATACAACGTCTAAGCTTCATATCTTCCCAGCCTGTTTCTTTCATTAGACTTTTTCTACTGGTGCCCTTCATGGCACCCGTTACGATTTTAGCAGATTCATATTGGACAAATTCGAGAAGATCGCTCTCACCGTCCATGCAACCGTCCCACAATACATCAGCATATTCCATCACGGGACGAACAAGAGATTTATATAATGTGTTTAAAGTTTCCCTATTTAATTTATACTTTAATCCTTTAAGCATATTTAACCTCTGGCATGCCTTTTCATATACTTTCAAAATATGAGCTTTCCATGACAAAGTACTAGATAGTGTGACGCCGAGGTGGGTATGCTGTGAAACCATAGCAATTTTTTACCTTCATAAAATTCATCAGGATGATATGGCTTAATCCTTTTGGTTGAAAAAATAATCGATTCGGTCTTAGTTGGGTTAATTGTAACTAACCATTGGGATGCCCAATCCTTAATTGAAGTAAGATCATTATTCAACTTTATCGAGGACATATTAGGTACATCAACAATATCAAGGATTGACGTGTCATGCATACAAAAAACAATCTGACTGAAGATTTTTAGTTATGTCATTGATATATATCAAAAATAGCAAAGGGCCAAGGACAGAACCCTGGGGAACACCCGCTTTTATACTTTCCCACTTAGAAGACTGGCCTTCAATCACAACTCGTTGTTTTCGATTTGATAAATAACTTTTAAGCCAACATAACAGTGGATCCTGAATACCAATTACTTCAAGTTTGTATAAAAGCCCTTTGTGCCATACTTTATCAAAAGCTTTGCTGATGTCGAGAAATACCATCCGAACTTCTTTCCCTTGTTCAAGTGCGTGATAAATCGTATGCACAATGTACATTAATTGATTCACAGTGGAATCACCCGGTCGAAAACCGGACTGCAGTCGGTTTAGAAAACCAATTTCTAGTAGAAAATTATATAATCGAATATATACAATTTTTTCAACAATTTTGGACAAAGAGACTAGTAAAGAAATCGGACGATAGTTGAGCTTCGACTGACGATCATCCTTTTTAAAAATTGGGATAACATTTGCTAGTTTCCATTTGTCTGGATATTTTCCAGATGAGAAAGAAAAATTAACAAAGCTAGTAAATGAATTAGATATACCGTTAGCACATAACTTTAATATGTTGTTCCCAATACCATCAAAGCCACAAGCTTTACCAGCATCCACATTTTTCAAGAGATTATTGACCTCTTCTTCTGATGTTTGGATAAGTGATAGAGTAACAGTAGCTCGGACGTTATTAGTTGGGAGAGAAGCACAACTATCATCCACATTACACTGAGTGCAAAAATATTCATTAAAGAGTTCGGCCTTTTCTTTAGCATCACTAATAACTTTTACACCATCAACTAGGGTTGGGATTGACGTTTGAATCTTTGCCCCATAAAGAGACTTTACGATACCCCACCAGTTTTTACTACTAATTAAAGGATCTTGAAGTCTGGCGTTCAGCTTTTTATTGTACATTTTTTTATTTGAACGAATGAGAGTTGTTGTATAATTTCTTTGCCGCCTGTATTTTTCCCAGGAAACTGTGGATCTCGTTTTACAATGAATTTTCAGTAATCTGTTTCTCTTACGAATTTCTCGCCTAACATTTGCATTCATCCACGGTTTATCACGAGGACGTATTGTGACAGTTTTATGAGGAATATGTGACTCAATTATACCTCGAAAACGACTATACCATTTTTCATAGGCAATATTTATATCTTCATCTTTCAGACTTTCCCAGTCTACCGCTAATAAAGAATTACACAAAGCAGTTTCATTAACATTATGAAAATTTCAAATAAGGCGTTTGTAGCACTTCTGCTTTGAGAACGATATGCACATTTTGGCAAAAATCAATGAATGATCGCAGTTGGCTGGGGGACTCAAAGTTCCACTTTGAACAAAAAATCCTGGGCAGTTGGTTATGACAAGATCTAAAATAGTAGCACCATTTTGTGTAATTCGTGTCGGTTCATTGATTACTTGAAATAAATTATTGCACTGCATCCATCGATACAAAAGGCATCCAAAATCACTTGAATCAGACATATTCGAAGGGTCATAATGACCCCATTATTTCTCCACATAAGAAAAAAATTTTTGCTTGTACAAGTGTAATAGCAGCAGTGGCAATAAGTCTCTATTAAAAAATAGTCAGTACTGTGCTTCTTGTAGCCTTAACTTTTCTATTGAAAAACATTTCGGCAGAAAATCACGACAACGCAAATACACACATACTGTGTAACAAAGGTGTATACAGTGTGCTCCACTAGTTGCATTGCTGGACTCAGAAGACAGTGTTATTATGTTGTTCATGAACCACCTTCCCCCATTAATTTCCAATATTCCATGAGTAAAATCTTCTAGCATTAGAATTTAAAGTAAAATAACATATGGTGCATAAAGGTTAAAGGTATTTTGTGCTTTACTGGTTAAATATATGCAACTCTGTCTTGTGCTGCTAATCTTACTCTGCATGGACAGTGTGGTTGGCATCAGCTGGTCAATTTCATTTGCTCCTAGGCTAGCTGCCTTTCAGATGAACTGCATGGTGAATAGCCCACACTCTGAATACTGAGAATATTGCCTTGTGGCGAGGAAACCAGTAAACTAACACACAACAAACACTGGGTTTAAAATTATATAATAAATAACTAGGTACACACACGTTTTAAATCAATAGAGACTGTGTGTAAATTAATTTAATGAAGCTATCTTAATTGGAAATTGTTTATTAAATAAACCAATACCAAACTGTACAATGATAAACATGACATAATTTAATCATATGTCTTCTATCTGTCCCCTTTTGCCTGCCTTTCAACTAATATTAATACAGTACTCCTTTAAGAAAGGCTGCACAGTAGTATTGATGAATATTTAATTTTCCCTATATTATCTTGTCAAATATATCCATACACTTATCAATGGTAATCATAATCCTCAGGGTGGCATGCTGGCTATCCAAAACATAATACTGGGATAATTAGCATTACAAATATATAATTTAA